CTCCAGGTAACATGGTGGTAGATAAAATGAGCATTTAGGTGGTTATTTTGAGCTAAATGCTCTAGTGTAGGACTAGGAGGTTGTATTAAGGTGCTAATGACTGAAAACTGGGGTACGCATTTCTAAAACAAATACTTTTTATATTGAGAAGAATATTTTCTGGTTCACTTTGAATGGGAGAGTCATCTTTAGCATTCAGTTATGAATTGTTGCAAGTTAAATCTGCAATAATAATTCACTCTGAGCTGAAATATACTGTAAGTAAGGCCCAACAGATATAGGAATTTTAGAAAAGGAAAAGTAACACACACACACACACATACATTTTTCAAAAGTTTTCCCATTTTTTACCCTTAGTATGTATGTGTGACACTAATATTAAATGGGAGCCACTTGATGTACAAGTATTATTGAGAGAAATGATTGGTGAGAATTGTTTAAAAGAGTAGAGATGAATAGGATCTAAAACCCTAGACCTGAACACCTCTTAACTTTGAGGAAGTGCAGATCTGGATGCTTAATTTGTTGTATCTTAAAAAGATGTTCTAAAAAAAATCTTTCCTGCTCATTTAACTCAAAAAAGTCATTCTTCTTAAGGCAGAAATTCTTAAGGCATTAATCCTTAATGTATTCTAGTCATTGTGCCTGTTTTGGGGGCGGAGGGTGTGAGGAAGGGGAAAGGACATGGAGACAGACAAAGAGATTGGAAATTGAAAACAAGTCACTGAAAGTGTGTGATAAATCTTGGATTGTCAACAGGGGTCAAAAGATGTTTTAATGCACATGGACACATCCATGTATTTCATGAGCACTGTTCTAACCTGGTTATTTGGAGAGGAAACATAGTGCTATGAATGGAAGAAGTTTGGGGTTCTTTTCCCACTCTACTTCTGACTAGTTGTGTGACTTCGAGCAAGACTCCCATTGACTTCAGTGGCCTTTGGATAGGGTCTTTAGGTCTTGAGTGTAAGAAATGTTTCCACTGCCTTCAGTGATCTCCCAGCACATTTGAAAGCCAAGCTCTTAATCTCTCTGTGTCTCAGTGTCCCCATCTATAAAAGCACTGGGATCTATGGAGAAAAATGTGAAACATAATATTAATTTTAACCAGAGAATGAAAAATGTAGCTACCAAAATCACTGAATATTATTTTTGGTCCCTCAAGTGGAAATTCCAGTAGGTTCCATTAGACACCTTTAACTAGTCTCTATTGGGTTCTGCGGGCTTGAATTGGAAGACCAAAACAACGGTGGGAACCAGCAGAACATTAGATGTATTTGTTCTGTTCAAAAATCTAGCTGGCAACTGGAAGACATAGAAACCAACTGACATTTTTCAAGTGGATTTTCCACTAAAATTGAACGATGTTTAATTGTCATGCCAAACAATCAATACATAACATTTTTATGTGTATGGGATAGGAGAACTGCAGAGCAGGGGTTGGGAAAGGCTGCCCCAAAGACACAAATGGCTTTTGTTGGCTCTGTACCAGGCCAAATCCTAGCTCCAGTCCCAGTCTGTTTGTGATAGCTAACTGTGCATGTGACACACTGCCACTTTAAAAATCGGTGTACAGGTGCTGGTTTTGTAGGGACAAATTCTTTTCAATAATTACCCATATTCTTTTAAAGAAAAGATTCCCAGGAGTCCCTCAGATGATAACAGAGTAGAATGAATCACACAACAACAGCATTCCCCTCCCCACAAGCAGCCATTGAGGTGAGGTGAGTGAAAGCTGGCCTAGCCACAGGTAGCATGGAGCATTCTCTTGCCTGAAGTGTAGATGTCAGAATGAATATCTGTTTTTTTCCCCGCCCCTTTTTCAAACCATCATGCAATCCCAATGCTCTGTGCATGCTGGTTTGCCCAGCTATACCCTTTTATGCCTCTGATAATCAAAAATACAAAAGCTCTGTGCGCATTAGTTCTGCCTCCAAATTGTGCACATTCCCATTTTAAAAAAAAATAGATTCACAAATATCCTGACTGACAACAAACAAGCTGTTGAGCTACAAGCAAACGCAGGGAATTACACAGGCAAAAAAGAGACTAATATCCTAAAAAGATGTGGGGGTTTGAGTTTCAGAACATTGGTACCGCTATTACTAACACAGCCAATATAATTCCATCAGCCTCAGTGGTGTTACTCTCGATTTACACTGGTATAAAGGAGATTATAAATGAGATCAGAATCTGGCCCTTTGCTTTACACTTCCTCATCCAAATGTCTGTAGACATACTGTACATACGCACACACACACACACACACACTCCTTTGATGCTCAAGGTTTCAACTTTATTAGTTCTGTGTAACAGCCATGGCCAGTAAAGCAATAAATAGCAATGTTAAATATGAGCAAACTAAAGCTAACACAACATTTTATGCCTTCCCAGAAAGACAAACAAGCCTGGAAATGTTTCTGAAAGTGCAAGTGTAAACATGACTTCGACTCCAAATAGTCACAGCATTTGCAAATGGGTCCTTAGTGACCTTTTTCACTCCAGCATGAGATTAACCACATGAGCTAAATGGCACTAAATGTAGGGTGTTCTGAAACAGATATTAAGGTAATTTCCAGCATGTTGATTCTTTTCCAGTTGTCTAATTCTTCTTCTTTTCCTTCTCAGACAAAGAGGTGTAGGACAGAGGGACAGATTACATGCTTCTCAGACATACTTTATTGGGTGGGGATGGGGGGTGAGGGAGGGAATCGTTAAAGCTTTTTTTTTTATTTACACAAAGATTCTTATTTTCGCCTGGTCAAATCTCAAATCTCCCAATAGCTGAAGCCGGTGCTCCTGAGGATAATTGCCTAAGAAGTGGTAAGATCTCAGTAATGCAAGAAAATAAAAACTAAATAAATTAAATAATTTGGCAATGAATTTCCAAATTATGGTGTCAAATTTTGTGGTGGGTAGGTGAACCAGTATTTTTGAAATGTCATCTTTGCACTCCAACCTCTGAATGATCATTAAAAGAAACAAGGCCTTTAGCCCTTATAGTTGTAAAAATAACCTCCAAATTATGAACTGATGCCTGCCAGAGTGTGCAGACAGCCTGAAATAATAATGCTGAAATAATGACTATTCACCTCAATGTGCTGTTAACCCTGAAGCTTAATAATGACCATTTACATGTAAACTAGTTCACTACTGATCCAAGTATAATGCATGATTATTCATCATGGATCTCTGTCTCCATCTAATGGCTGGACCACGGAGAGGTTTATGGGTCTGTATAGTCTTTGAGGGAACAAGCCTTTTAATTCAGGCAGTTGAGGCTTGCTCTTTTAGATCCAAAGTCCAATCTGCGCTGCTGCTGAACAATCCAGGACATTGTGTTACATAAACATGCAAGAAATGAAAAATAATCAGCTGATGTCACTGCATACTGAACATAAAAGAACATAGAGGAACCACTAGACTGTATGATCCAATATCTCATTTTAACATCTCAGGTAGGTGGGTCTTGGCTTGTGGGCAGAAACACTCCCTCTTTTTCTCCAGTTCAACCCCTGCCTATGTGCACATGCATGTGAGAAAGCGAAAGAGAGATGTAGCCTTTTGCTACAATTAAAGGTATCCACATGGGCTAGCAGCAGTGGATTCCTGCCCCCAATCAAGAACTGCTCATTGGACCCATCACCCTCATCTCTCGGTCCATGGATTCCATGAAGTCCTCACTTCTGGACCTCTCTTTAATTCCCCTACCCTCACCAGGTACTAAAGGCTGCTGTGATTTCTGAGGCAGGCACCAGAGTTGGAAGTTGTAGAACTGCACAGAGTATGTGTTACTACCAGAGCCTTAAAACCTTTGACAAGTTGTCAATGTAACTCCTGGTATTATTCCCAAGGCCTACAAGGGAACATATATTAATCAAATAAAGATTGTGATCCTCCAGTGACAAGGCTTAAAAAACCCCAGTCTGTTTACAAATGTTCACAGCAAGGCCATTAACTGTTAGCGAGCAGAACAGAAGGCTGCCGTCTTACCTAAATCCCGGCTCAAATTTCAGTTAGCAATAAATAAGGCATTGTGAGTTATTTGCTTTTAACAATAAAGTAAATGTTACATTGTAGACTACCAAACCCTGAAGTGGGATGAGGGCTTGAAACAGCTATAATTCAGGAAGTGGGAGTTATCCAATGAAATAAAAACTAAAAAGATACTTTATCATGCATTTGTACTTAGAAACTGGTGAAACCAGTTGGAGAAAGTTCAGATAGCCACTTATATTGTTTGCATTTATCTGGGTATGTTTGTGCTATTTGTGCATCATTTACCAGATGCTGTCAGGTCAGGTAGGTGAACTCCCTTCAGAACCTAAGGCAACATCCTTGTAAGGGAGTAATGCTGATTCTGATAAAGGGACCAATGTTCATCTGAAGATGCCTTTTGCTCATCACTTGTCCTTATGGTGCCTGCTTTTTGCCACCATTGTTATGTCACCTTGCAGCCATTTGCGAACCATCTCGTGATTATAGTCCATTGAGTATAGATGCTCACCAGAATAAATACAATGGGATAGCATAGAAGGACAGAATTTGGCCCCATATCTTTAATACTGCTAATTAAAAAAAGAAAAATTAGATGCACAGGTGACTTGTGGGATGAATGCACTAAAGACTCTTGTGCAACATTACAAACATTACATTTCCACCAGGCCATGTGGTGTCCACTAGTGTTTTTTTGGTAATATGCTAAATCCAGTGCAGAAACAAAAAACGTGTCCATGGACAAGGAATGAAACAGGTGCATCTTGCAAGTGACACACATTAGTTCTTTGACAGTAAAATGTTTGGAACTGTGTTCTTTATGTCATGCTTTGTACTCTAGCAAGACCAACACACAGCAGACAAGGAATGATCAGCTTTTAGGACTTTTATATGCTCTCTGCATATTGTCTGCCAAGGATAAAAGAAAGTTAAGGAATCAGAGAAGTTAGTGATGGAAGAGAGCTATTAGGACTTCTGATCTTTTTCTTCTCTTTCCGTTGCAGGATGGTTCCCTACAGTATATTCTTGAGCAGGATGGTTCCCTACAGTATATTCTTGAAGACTTTGGACAATCTAGTTTTGGCTTCAGCCACTTGTCTTGGAGACTATTCCACAGTGAAATAAACTATCAGAAAATTTTCCAATATTACACAGCCTATAATATTTCCCCTTTTTGAAATTCATCCATTATACCTAGTAAGTTGAATCATCCTAAATAATACCTCTCAGTTGCTGTGTCTCCCACTCTCTCATCTGAACAAAATAAAACTCTTCCTTTTCCTTCCCTCAGCCTTCTACCTCATGAAGTATTGGAATACAGGAATTGCCATACTGGATCAGACCAGAGGGCCATCTAGTCCACTATGCCATCTCTGATAGTGGCCAACACTGGAAGGAAGGTATAAGAACACAGAGGGTTTGTGGCTGCTGCAGTAGGCAAATGTGGAACAATGTGCCCTCTACAATAGGTCTCATCCTAGTTTGTAATAGTTAAAGATTGGCTTAAACTCTCAAGCACAAGGTTTCACATTCCTTCTAGAATTTTTGTTAACAACAATTATAACTGTGGATGTTCCTGTTATCCATATAAATGTTCATTCCCTTTGGAACTTACTAAATTCTTCGACTCAATGACTTCCTATGGCAATGAGTTCCACAGTCTGATTATACATTGTTTGAAAAAAAGGTATTTCCTTTAATTAGTTTGAAATTTGCCACCTTTCAATTTCATTGAATGTCCTGTTGTTCTTGTGTTATGAGACAGGGAGAACAGAAGCTCCTGATGGGGAGAAATATGAGCTCTTCCCTCTTGGAATGGGGCCAAGAGTCTCATGCTGCCTTCCCAGCTCCTCTCAGCCATCAGCCTTCATCCTGGCTCTCATCTATTGTCTTATCCATTTCTTACTTACCTCTGGTCTAAAATCCTCACTGTTTTACCTTCCTTCTTCTGGTTCCTGCCCTGAAAAAGAGGTTGGGAACCAGAAGAGGAGTAGAATCATTGGACTGGAAGGGAAGTCTGCTAAGTCCAGTCCCTTGCACTCAAGGCAGGACGAAGTATTATCTAGACCATACCTGAGAGGTGTTTGTCTAGCCTGCTCTTAAAAATCTCTAATGCCAGAGATTCCACAGCCTCCCTAAGCACTTTATTCCAGTGCCTAACTACCCTGACAGGAAGTTTTTCCTAATGTCTAAACTAAATCACTCTTGCTGCAGTTGAAGCCCATTGCTTCTTGTCCCGTCCTCAGAGGTTAAGAAAAACAAGTTTTCTCCCTCCTCCTTGTAACAAGCTTATGGTCATATCAGAATGCCAAAGGACAGTTGTTCCTGGCAAGAGGAGATGGGTCAGATCAGAAATGGCTCCAGCAGCCAAAAACCCTCTATCATACAGCACTCATTCGTGGCTCCCTAGTTCAGAACTGCCAATACGATGACAAGGGTCTCACCCCAAATTGATTCTCTTTAGCCTGTGACAAACCCCATGTGTTCCGGCAAAAAGTAAGGGATTTGGGCATGTATTTATTCTCCATGATCTCTCTCACTCCCAAAATCTTTTTGCTATATGCTATAAACAGAGATGGAGGCAGCACAACAAAGCAAACAAACATCTATTAAGGTGCATTTTATTGAAAATATTTATACTTTTCCCCAGTAAAAATATATTTAGTATAGAACTGCATAACAGTGTGCACCTTCTATTGTTTGAAGAGGAAACTAGGGTCCAAGGATAAAGACCTTTTAGGGTGCCGGAGGTTGTTCTTGTCAAAGAAGTTTTTTTAAATAGCCACCTTTTGGTCCATACCAATGGTGATAAAATTGGCCTTTGAAAGTATTTTATGAGTCCCAGGGAAATCATCTTCGGCAGTGATGACACTGTCCAGAATGGGGGTGCATTCCATAAAAAGCAGTGAAAACATTCCAACCTCCCTTCAGTTTGGTGGCTGCATTTTAACAAAAGGCTCCTTGGAACCCCCAAAAACCTTCTGTAGCACATCAGTGGGCTCTCCACTAAATCCTGGAAACTAGCCAGTCTCCAGGTGACAAGTACTGGGTAATAATAAGTTTCTTAATGATTAAAAACTCTCATACGTCCTGCAAATACTTGACAGCGAAACCTGAAGGTAGTAGGGCAGGATTGTGCCATCCTGTCATAATTTTCTTTGCAAACTGGACAGGAATAGCTTACACAAGAACTGGCTTCTCTGTAGAAGACAATCTTTCAATTGAAAGTATATTTTGTGAGAAGTAAAGAAAAGTAGGGTATGTGTGAACAAACTGCTGTGGCAACAAAACACAACCACACAGCTCACGACAGTTTTCTCACACAAGTCTTCTTGTCGGCTTCTGACACAACATTGCAAATATGTACCAGACACCCTCTAATAAAGCCCTTCCTTTTAGGAAGCAACTCAAGTACGTGGACTGCTCTTCCTCAAAAATAAAGCTAGTTCCCCTCTCTGTCCCCTAATTTGACTCAGTCACTGGATATCTTGCTTCAAATTATCTTTTGGTAGCTGGGTAACTTCCATACTTTGGAGAGAAGAAATTGCAAAAAAAAAAAAAAAAGGATTAAATACTATATCCATCAATAATCTATAATAGACTATACAAGATTATATTGGGTTTGAGGAAATGCCTTTTGAAACACTGACAAATTTAAGGCCTTAGTAAAAATTAAATCCTAGCATTGTTGCTGTTTCAGTTTGTGTGAGAACTTCCTGTTTTGTTTTGGCTGGTATGAGAGTGAGGGTGAACTGTTGATATTCCTGTTCTTCTGATAGACTATCACATGATATGTTTAAAAATAAGCTTGCCTCCTTTGTGTATGAGCAAGCCTTGGTGAACAATGTCTTGTATTGCAGCTATGTTTGTATTTGGCACAAAAAACAACCTGTTAAGGAGGTAGTGTGAAAAGAAAAGTGATTTTCATAAGCTTATTTCAAAACAGTATCCAGAAAGGATGTGGGAATCGATACAACATTGGTATCTGGTAAATAAAGTATCCTTTTAAAAATGGTATGATTGAGACTTTTCATAGTAGCTTTAAGAATAAGTGCTTCTAAGCTCATTTCAAACTGTATACCACTGTCAGGACTTTCAGTTGTGGCTCTAACACACACCATGCTGTTGTGCTACCCTTGGTTAAGCGAGACTTTGTCTTGAGTGCGCAATACTTGGAAACGGTGCCCTATATCTAATTTGTGTGACTACTGTAACCTCAGACTCTATGTCCTCACTTATATACCTATTGATCCCCTCCAGCCTTTTATTTAGATTGATAGATTTTTAAGGCCAGAAGGGACCATTATGATCCTTTTTGATGACCCCCTGCATTTCACCCAGTAATTCCTGCATCAAACCCATAATTTCTCACTGAGTCAGAGTGTTTCTTTTAGAACGGTACCCACACCTGATTTAAAAACTCCAAGTGATGGAAAATCCACCATGTCCCTAGGTAAATTGTTCCACTGTTAAAAATTTGCACATTATTTCTCGTCTGATTTTTTTTAGCTTCCATCTGTTAGATATTGTGATGCCTTTGTCTGTTAGATTAAGGAACCCTCTCTATCAGAAATCTTCCTGGCTGTGCAAATGACAGCTGCTAAAATGCTCTTCCTTGACGATTAATCAGACCACATCACTCTCCCTGCCTACCTTAGCAAACTGAAACCTCCCTTACCTTCATGGCATTTACAGCTTGGATCTCATTTCTTATGTCCCATCCCCATCCCTTCTACCAAATACACCATTCTCAGCATATCCTCTTGTGTGATCTCCTCCCACTCCTGGCTTGATGTCTTTTTCACGCTGCTGCTATGCATGGAACATACTCCCAATCTCAGTGTGGCAAGTCTTTATTCTCTCCTCACTATACTCTTTCCCTATAGTGTCACTTCTTCTGCAAGACCCACGAACGCTAATCCAATCAGCCTACTCCCCATTCTACCACAAAGAAACTTCTTGAACTAACTCCCAGCCCTCAGTTTCTGAGAGCATCATCTCTCTTTTTTTTTAAGACTAAGTTTCATGACACAGCAGCTGTCTCTGTGTGTGCCTTGTGCAGCACTGAGTGTAACATTGTAGCTGAACAAATAATAAATAAGAGTGTTTATGTCTATACAGTGTGTGTATGAACTGTACAGCCTATGTGTACATACCAGACAGTGTGTTGAAATAGTAGGTCAGATTCTGGCCCCTGCTTTGGCCACACAAAGCAACGAGAAAACTTTCAGGCTGCTTTAGCTCAGACCAGGGACTAGACTTGTCCCTTGTCAGCCCCAGGACCCAGAGATCACAAAGGTGGCATATAACCTCATGCCTCACAGCCCCGGTGCTGCCCACAACTCAGATGGAGCAGAAAATCTGGTCCAGTATTTGCGGGTAAAATTTTAGCTGCTGATCACTCAGAACACAAATGACAGAAAAGCTGAATCCAGTGAGACCTGGGAGGAACTAAAATTTGACTAAGCCAAAAAGCAAATGGAACATGTGACTTTCTCTCTCCTCATCACACAAATTGCCTCCTTAAGCACTTTCATACTGAGGGTTTTTTATATTTCTCTCTGTATACACTGAGGAAAAAAGTACATAGCCATTTTTACGAGAATGTTGACTGAGGGTGGTCACCATCTGTGCAAGCTGCCTGAAATTGTGACTTCCTCTTTGCCTTCTGCTCAGCCAAAGAGGAAACCTCACTTTACAGATAATCCAAGGAATATCAATCTCTTCCACCACCCTCCCCCAACCTCAAACGATTGGCATTTTCCAGTCAAAACAAGTTTATACCTTGCCTGACAGGGCTTCTGTAATGAAATAGATAGATATCCTGTTTAATGTTTGAGGAGGTGACAAGTTAGCACCAGCAGCTCTGGCATGCTTGTTTGGGTTATTGGAACAGAGAGGTCTGAAAGCTGTTGCTCTTTCAGAACAGAAAAGAATTGACCTCCAAACTTTTATCCACAGAATAAAGAATCTGCAACAAAATTTAGTCCTTTCCTGTCGAATCCCAGAGAAGGAATTTAGGCCTTGACTATACAAGAAATCTTGCACTGGTTTAACTAAATATAATTTAATCAATCTAATTAAACCAGTGCAAACCTCAAATGTAAACATACTTAAATTGGTTAGCCTTTAAATCAGTTTAGCTTATATTGTTAAAATACTGAATTAAGCTAAACCAATTTAAGCAAAGGTTAAACTGGTTTAGGTGTGTAAATTAGAGGTCTGCAGCAATTTAACTAGATCCATTTATAGTTTTCTAACACAGACAAGGCCCTGTTATATCCTGCAGATCTCTCTATTACAGTGTGTTGTCTCTGCAAGGATGTTGCAGGTTTTTGTAAGGAAGGACTTGAATTTATTTTCACCTTTTTTTTGTTCTGCTAACTTCATGATGTCTTACACAGCTTTGAAAATAATGCCATCATCACTTCAGACTTTTGTGGTATCTTACATACACCCAAAAGTGCTTTACAACCATTGAACCTCACAATACCCCTAGAATGTAGGTAAGTGTGGTTATGCCCATTTTAAAGATGCATAAAATGAGAGTAAGCAACTTTCCCGACTTCACACAGCAAGTCAATGACAGAACAGGGAAAAGGTCCACTAGAATAAACTGCCTCCCAAGAAATTTTCACCAAGATTTCATTGAAGTTTGGGCCTTGAAAAGACAAATATAACAAGACAACATATGCAAATGACATTACATGAGAGCTGCTCAAAATGGGGAATTTTCGGGCGGGGGGGAGTAGAATGTTTTGAATTTTTTTTGGTAGAAAATAGTTCTGTCAAAATTTTGAAAATTCAAGGAATTTTGATCAACTCTAATGCACAAAGTTTTTGGGGATAGCCTCCATTAAAACAAAACAAACAGAAATATATTGTATTAAGGATTCCAAATGCTGCCATGAAATTATTGCAAGCTATTGTGTTTTAGGGCAAGGAGGCATTGCTATAAAATATTGTAATGTGTATGTACAGATACGCACACATACTTTGGAAGGCAAAGCCACAACATCTCACAGCTTAAAATCTTTGAGTCATGCCCTGCATCCCAGTGAAGTCAATGGAACAAAGATTTAATTTTTAAAGACCAAACAATGGCCTAGATTCATCCCTGTACTAGCCCCAGAACAGGACTGAGAGGAGATGATTTATGCATCTCCTGTTCTGGGGCTTTGGGGGCTGGTCTGGAGCATTGTGGAAGTTAGCATAGGCCTGGAACTGCTCTAATCTGTATTCCCCATTGTTATAGTCCCCATGGAGTTCATGGCAGAGAGATACAGGTCTGTCCCAGCAGTGCTTCCTCCCACCCCTGATGCACTGCCTGTCTCCTGTGACCTGTTTTCCTGCAGTCTCTGCTCTGTGTCTCGGGCTGCTGGGAACTGGCTCTGTGATGGAAGGGGTGTCTGGCCAGGGTGATTTCTTTGGGGGGAGGAGAGGAAGTGTGTGGCCTTTGTGGTGTGACTATGCTTGCACAAAGTGTCTGCAACACAGTTTTGAATTCACAAGCTTGGGCATCTGCGATAAGGCCATTGTCATCCCTTGTGGTAGGAATAGCAGATTACTGATGTGTCAGCTCTTGAATTTTCTTTAAACTTTCTTATGTGCCATTAAGAAGGAGATGGGTTCTCCGCTGAGACAAGTAATTCTCTTTTTTTATTTTCAATTTTTTTCTTCTAATTTTTGCTTAGCAGTTACCAACATAGGAAGCAGTATGATCTAGTGAACAGAGCACTGGACTGGGATGCTGGAGACCTGAGTTTTAGTCCTTAGAATCATAGAATCATAGAATATCAGGGTTGGAAGGGACCCCAGAGGTCATCTAGTCCAACCCCCTGCTCAAAGCAGGACCAATTCCCAGTTAAATCATCCCAGCCAGGGCTTTGTCAAGCCTGACCTTAAAAACCTCTAAGGAAGGAGATTCTACCACCTCCCTAGGTAACGCATTCCAGTGTTTCACCACCCTCTTAGTGAAAAAGTTTTTCCTAATATCCAATCTAAACCTCCCCCACTGCAACTTGAGACCATTACTCCTCGTTCTGTCATCTGCTACCATTGAGAACAGTCTAGAGCCATCCTCTTTGGAACCCCCTTTTAGGTAGTTGAAAGCAGCTATCAAATCCCCCCTCATTCTTCTCTTCTGCAGGCTAAACAATCCCAGCTCCCTCAGCCTCTCCTCATAACTCATGTGTTCCAGTCCCCTAATCATTTTTGTTGCCCTTCGCTGGACTCTCTCCAATTTATCCACATCCTTCTTGAAGTGTGGGGCCCAAAACTGGACACAGTACTCCAGATGAGGCCTCACCAATGTCGAATAGAGGGGAACGATCACGTCCCTCGATCTGCTCGCTATGCCCCTACTTATACATCCCAAAATGCCATTGGCCTTCTTGGCAACAAGGGCACACTGCTGACTCATATCCAGCTTCTCGTCCACTGTCACCCCTAGGTCCTTTTCCGCAGAACTGCTGCCTAGCCATTCGGTCCCTAGTCTGTAGCTGTGCATTGGGTTCTTCCGTCCTAAGTGCAGGACCCTGCACTTATCCTTATTGAACCTCATCAGATTTCTTTTGGCCCAATCCTCCAATTTGTCTAGGTCTTTCTGTATCCTATCCCTCCCCTCCAGCGTATCTACCACTCCTCCCAGTTTAGTATCATCCGCAAATTTGCTGAGAGTGCAATCCACACCATCCTCCAGATCATTTATGAAGATATTGAACAAAACCGGCCCCAGGACTGACCCTTGGGGTACTCCACTTGATACCGGCTGCCAACTAGATATGGAACCATTGATCACTACCCGTTGAGCCCGACAATCTAGCCAGCTTTCTACCCACCTTGTAGTGCATTCATTCAGCCCATACTTCCTTAACTTGCTGACAAGAAGACTGTGGGAGACCGTGTCAAAAGCTTTGCTAAAGTCAAGAAACAATACATCCACTGCTTTCCCTTCATCCACAGAACCAGTAATCTCATCATA